CTTGTCGGTAAAGACCACGGAACTCGACCAAAAGATTACTATAGTTGAGAATGTCGTTCAGAGACCGCCTGTCCAAGTCATTAACGTGATTCGAAACAACGCCGTCCTCGTTTGATCCATACTGTAACAAACAGCGCAGTGATATGATATTAAAACAGAAAAGTATAGAATCAATAACTACATGAAAATGTATAAAAAAATACATACAATTAAAAAATGGATGTACCAAGAGACCTCTATCATTGAACATCAAAATGTCTGTCTCAATGAAGCAATGATGTTTATAATGACCTAAAGCTAATTAACAAGGTACTCATTAAGACAAACTACTAACGTCGTGAAACGACTTAAAACAGGAATTTTGACAGAGAACCATTGTCCGTATGTACGGTATTTCTGAAACTCAGCAGTTAACCCAGAAACCAATGGGCATTAACATCACATAACGCATTAACAAATTTTCTGTTAAAGCTTCTATGAAACATATCTAAGTGTACACATACACTAGATAACGTACGCCATTAGTTATTTTCCCGGAGTTGCTACTCAGCGTGTGCAGTCTATCCGAAACTGAACACAGGAAATGGGGTCAGACATGATCTGTATCAGATAACCGATAATTGCAGCAGAACTGCATATACCTATTAAATCAGAATAATCACGATTAACGATGTCTGACAAGATTTCTATGGCAATAATCCCTATTACGACGCCATAAGCACTAATCCAAATTGTTGACATGTGTAGCCTGACTACAAACTGGAACACTGAACAAGCCATAGTTCGTGTAATTCATTTGTCAAGTAACTGCCATTGATTACACATTACACTATTCGACTACCAAAGTTTTCTCACCATTTGGATGTCGTTTCGGCTACTTGCCTCGATCTTTCTCACATCGTTTAAAATGATGGCAACCATCATCTTCATTAGCATGACTTTCAGAATGCGCCTCATTACAGCACTTCATTACCTCGCCATCACTTAGGGGCGCCTGATTTATTTTCTTGGCTCAGAGTAAGCGCTCCGTTCGGCCTATGCGCTTGGCTCGCTTCGAATATTCCCGTTTGGAGTTAAAGAAGGATCCAAGATCGGTTCTACTGATTCTAAGACCGCTTCAATACCATTTGAACTAAACGGCAAATAGATAATTTTTAATGAATGATGTTTATATGAGTAAGCAGTACATTGGGGCCGGACGACAAACAGGTTGTGCAGGAAATATCTGTTATTTATTATGTATTGCACAGTATATGCCGATTTTGTACGGATAACAATTTTGTTTAGACAACAAGCATATAATATGTAATTTGACATACATAAGAGATCATATGATAATGACTGCCACTACATATGTGCAGTGAAGCAACAGTATGCAAAAAGCATGCAACAGCATACAATATGATCTAGCTCACCGACATATTAATGACATGATCTACTGTCATACATGCACAATCTAACAGCATACACACAATCAAAAATTGTATAAAATTTTCTGTTATCTGTGCAACAGCCCTTTGATATAGAATAAAGTTCACTGATGATAATTTTATGACACTCTGTGGTATATACCTATGATATGTTACTGTTATGATTATTCAACTTATGCATATGTACACATAACATGTTTTGTGCGCAGGTAGTAAATCGTGCCAAAAAGCAGGGAATACGTCTATGAAATCTGTCTGATTCGCAGACTTACAAAACAGCTTACGACAAGAATATTTAGCTCCAAGCTACAGAAAGTACAGCAGGAATATCGAGTGGGGACCAGTTATCGAAACTTTAAACGAGTTTCAGAACACCAGTCTTCGATTAATGACAGCAAGATGACGTGATTCCACGTGCTTGTTGGACTCTAATAGAGACACGCATTGCCCATTCTCGCGTTGATAAGTTTTACGGGTCAGTAGATCACCAGAACCTTCCTGACAAAGATAAAGCCACAGCTGCTAGTTATGTAGGTCATCGGTTGTTTACGAATCATCTCATCAGTCTCGCTTGGTCGAATGATGACATCCAACATGATTTCGATCGCTCAAATGCTAGCTATGATATGACCAGAATAAAAACCCGACCTTTTTATCATCGATAAATCCTACCACTGTGCTGTGCGGGTAAAGTTTAAGTATGTTGAGTTAGTATTCATTATGGCAAAGGTTCAGTGAGGCGAGCGCTATACGTTGGACTAAACCGCTCTCAAATGAAGAAAGAGGCTACCAATGCTGCGAAGCTATCCGTATTCACCACTGTATGTACGTATCTATTCCCACCAATGGCTATGAGTGTTGGATACTATTCAAAACACTGCGATCACGGAGAGAAGCGACAGAATGTAGTTTCTTGAAAGGACTGACAAAATCCGGAACACGGCAATATGATATACGATATTCGAATGTATGAGCAACGTTTAGAGTATCAAACCATCATAACAGTTATGACACAGCCATGTGATGAGGATAAAACAGGAGAAACATGCTAAACGCATTCCCCTTGACAAGTGAATGGCAAACAGATCAGACGTAGATCGTGGACCAGAAGGCTCGGTTTGATAAACGCTGTAATGTGTAGTCTTAGAATCAAAAAACAGAAAACCGTAACCACTTGTTGAACCAGTTGCTTCCGCTTCCAAAAAGAATAGCTGACTTTTAAAATGAATGAATCGCTAGGGACGCTTATGTGCCACAATAAGAAAACAGCTATTTAACGGTCAAGACCTAACAATATCCCAAGATAATCACCTAACAATGCTATGATACTCAAAGAATCTCGGTATGCATAGAGGAGGTAGATCAACCTGAATTACCAAAGGCAGTACAAATATTAGCGGTATGTTTGACTCCGCCGTTCCAGCGTTGTTATCCTAAAAAGTTTATTATGAATAAGAATTAATTTTCAGTTTGTTAAAATTTTAATTCTTTATCAAACCTCATGTATATGATATCTCAGTTATCACTCTGCACTTAAAACAAACAATTTTATTTCACGAAAACTTTGTCCGTAAGGTAAGATGCTATTAAATTAAAATCCATTCAGTGAAACTCACTTTAGAGCTGGACTCTGTCAGTTGTTTGTATTCGAACTGACCTCGAATTACTGTCGATACCATTCCGGGAGCGAACATGCCGATCAAGAAATTCGAAGCGAGTAAAATCAGCTTCAAGATAAAGATAACAAGCAGCGCTCTTTCAGCAGGGCTAGAATAGAAAATCGCGTTAGGATCAATTAAATTCGATGAGGCATGCAAATTACAACTCAACAATTATACTTGTGCAAAACGAAGTACCAAAGTTGCCCATTAAAGTTGAACACCATCAAGGTTTCGAGCGCGAATGACGCAGCCCAAAAGATGTTCAGAAAGACGCTGTGGCCACGAGCAGGTGTCGATGGAAGGTCGAAGTTACGCTCAAGGACAATCAGCAAAAGCGACATCAACCAACAGTACGAATCAACTGTACAATGCAAGATGTTGTAGCCGTAGATCTGTAAGCTGGTCTCGTAGCGAACCAGCAACCAGACGATGGACAGCATAACCAGTAGCACGTTGCACAACAGATGGCCGTAGTAGAGCAGCGGAGGGTGCGACAGCAGACGACGGTCCAGTATACTGCCGTAACGGCTGTACATCCACAGTTCGGCGTTGCCGAAGATGAGCATAGCGCTGCCAAGCAAGAACGCGCAGAATGTGTCCAAAAAACAAACGGACACACCTTTTTCGTACCACACCGTGTAGAACGTGACGTTCGGGGGGCAGTATGACATGGCAGAACCTATCAGTATGACCTACATTCAACACTTAACCGTTCACAATGAATACAATCAATGAACACAACGGCAGACAAGCCAATCACGTTGCTTAAAAACGAATGGGAGGCCTTTCGAAAGTTTATTTTTTTTCTTTATTCAACTAACAGAACAGAATCGATAAACAACTACATCCCTTGCCCTAATAAATAGGAGTCAGAGCAGCACCATCGACCCGCACCATAACTTCCTTGTTGAACGTATTCAACCACGGTCGCAGATCCGCGTGCGTTTCTCTTCGGTTCTGCAACGCTTCTTGTATCCGGTGACACCACCTCCTCGACTCGTCGTCGAACACTGACTGTCGGCCGCTGATGAGCACTAGCAACAGCTTCACGTATGTTTCCAAATAATCGTCTTCCAACGGCTCTACAGAACAGCAAGAACGCATTAGGGCACACGTATTGGAACAAAAGAAATTTAAACAGTATGACCGTCAAAGCAAAAACAGGAATCATACGAGTGAGGTATAAACTGTAAGGCAATGAAGTGGTAACATGCTAGCGGAGGTGGCGTTTTTCAATATTTCGATTTAAGCACTTAGGTTAATGTATGTAGTATAAAAGGAAAACATAATCTTATTACCTATGCCTTTTTATCAGAAAACGGCGCCGTGCTTGCATTCGAAATTCCAAACGCAACTCAAAATTCTCTTTAAACAGATATCTGACAGAAGTCATAAGATTCCGATCCATGGTTCTAACTGTAGATTTGCATCTGTTTTAAGAAAGCACTATCGATAGCGTGTTGTCGCTTGGGGCTCGAAGTTTTGAAATCACGCGGCTGCGTCTCGATCAGGTAAAAAGATATGAAGCAATGACATAGTATTATGAGCATTAGATATAATTTTGTTAGTAATGCGCCTTTTCACTGCTTCGTATATTCCTAAATCTTCAAAATGCGAGGCATCTGATGGCGTGATCGCCATTCTGCAGAATGACATCGTCATAGTATTCAACAGTCATCGAGTGCAAAAAACTAGTGTTAAGAAGTTTTCTTCCGAATTCTTCCGCAACAACGTTCTTTTTGTGGAATATTCCGGAATGATTATGCCTATCGGCAATTTCAGAATGAAGACCGGAACAAGGAACTTGTCACATTGCTACAATGTTTACAATCAAATCGAAGTAGAAGGATTAAACACTGAACCGTAAATCACAGGTACTACTACGTTAAACTCAGACGAAGGCCCACACTCAGACAATGGACAGTAGCAAACCCCGGATGAAGCCTGACAATAAAAAAGGGTTTTTGAGCAAAACGCAAATTCCTTTAAGGCTATATAGAAGAGTCAAAATGGGGCGAAGCGACCTTAATCATATCAGCAGTACCTTTTACACACTATCTTGGAGAAACTTGGATGATTTCAGTCTCTGTAACTGTATGGTTCTCAACCACAGAGTTTATTCAATAAATCTATTGTTTCGCACGAAGAAGTAAAAATCCCACAAGAGCTGAAAATGACGATGTCTGGAGATCAGATTCTGTCGAAACGAAACCCATATATTTAAATAAAAACTTTTTCAATGTTCATGCTACTAAGCATAAAACAAAAGTACAGATCCATTTCCTATCATCTGACATCATATAATTATCTTATATTTCCTTCTATGTAGATACCTAGTGAATCCGCCAACGTCTGAAACAGGGAACAACTGTCAAGAACGCATAAGCAATCGTTGGAAACCAGCCAACTGATCCAACTTTCTTCGTTGTCATGGTTTATGTAATCAGGAAAGCGATGGAACATCGTGAAAACCGTACTGAGATAAACCGAGGTAAAACGGTCGAGTAGACGACCACTGGAAGTAAGCAAGAAGCAGAATAACAGTATCCGCAGAAGAGTGTTGAGGCAGGAGGGTACGG